TTCGTAGAGGCAAAACTCAACCAAAGGAAGACAAAAGCCTTGGTTGATACCGGGGCAAGTTGCAACCTTCTCGACGTAGATGAAGCGCGGAGGCTGGGCATCACGTACGAGAAGAAGCAAAGAGGGTGGATGAAGGCTACAAACTCAAGGGCCACAAGAACTCAAGGAGTAGCGCGCCAGGTGCCACTCAAGCTAGGAGGATGGACCGGGGTGGCGGACTTTGAGGTTGTGTCGTTGGATGATTATCAGGTCATCATCGGCATGGAGTTCATGGTGCGGGAGAAAGCTTTCCCGATCCCATATGCCAATAGATTCTGCATCAATGGCGGAGCAAGATCGTTTTCCATGACAAGAGAGCAACTCGAGTCAAACAAGAGGTGTTTTGCAAGGCAAGAGCAGCGAGAAGTGGCAACGATGGTGGAGCCAGCGGCTCACTCGAAGACTCGTTGGAGAAGGACGAGAAGGAGGAGTGCACAACATCGTGGAGCCATGAGAGACGAGGATGGGTCATCTTCGACTTGCCGGGAGAAGCAAGGAAAGGCCACCATGATCGAGAAGGCGGGATACTCGAAGACGCAACGAAGAAGACCGCGGAGGAGTGCGCAACATCATGGGAGCACAAGGCTCGAGAGCGAGCCAGGGCCATCCTTGGTTTGGAGGAAGGTGCAACGAGACCTTGCAAGCAATGAAGCTAAGGCAAGGGAGGCATCTGCCAAAGAGCCATGACGAGGGCGTCGTGGATTGAGTGGAGGAGAATGTCACCAACGAGGCTCAAGAGTCGAGAGAGGCTGCTCGAGGTCGATGGAGGCATTTCGTAGCAAGGACGCGATGAGGGCATCGCGAGAATAGGTGGGGGAGGATGTCATGCGTGGCGGGCGACATGGCGAATGATGTGGCGGATCATGACCAAGTCAAGCACGTGTGGCATTAGGAAGACCTAGTAGCATAGGATGCTCCTAGGATTCCCCATCTTGAATATGAGCTTAATGGTGCACATAAAGAGCCACATTATGAGGTGGTATAATGGTGTGCATAATGGGAGAAATTTAATAGGGTGTAGTAATGGGGAGGGACCATTATGAGGGGCATTGATGCCTTGTATGAGGAGAGGCCTATATAAGGAGCCATCTCCCTCACTTGCAACTCATCCATCATTTTTGTGAGCAATACAACTATAGAGTTTCTCCTATCTTCTTGTGTCTTGTTCTTGTGAGTTCAGTGAGTTTGAGAGCTTGTGAGAAGGCTGCCTAGCATCTCTAACGGAATTGAGAGCTAGGGCCGCACGACCAAGAGTAAGGCCGTGACAGTACCCACCCGACCCAACCCGGTCAACGCGGGTAAAATCCGTGTTGACGGGTTTTGGGCCGGGTTTGGGTTTAAACCCGTTCACTATTCACCGGGTTGGGTTGGGTTTGGGTTTAGGTAAACCCGGCCCGTGGGTACCCGCCCACTCATATAATTAATTTTTTCGGTATATTTAATATTCTAAACAACTATTCTTATTTATATTTGTGGAGACATGTCTAATTTTTTCTTTTTAATTGTGTAGAATGAAGTTGATGTTATGGAGTGGAGCCTAAAGAAACTTAATTGAAAGAAAGAAGCTTTCAATTAAACATGTTATTTATGGATAATTTGTGATTTGCTTCAATTTTCATGAGTTTTCTAGATTGGTGTTGAACAATTTGTATAGTTAATTTGTGATTTGCTTGAATTTTCTAGAATGGTGTTTTATATATGGATAATTTATATTGAGAGATTGATATTTGACTTTAATTTTGATAAGAACTTGTAATTGTAAATTTTTTACGACAAAACCCGTGGGTACCCATAAACCCGCGGATACCCAACGGGTTGGGTTGGGTTGGGTTTGAGTTTTACAAACCCGGTGGGTTTTACCCCGAGTTTTTTTCAAAGATAAACCCATGGGTTTGGGTTTGGCAAAACCCGACCCAACCCGACCCATTGCCATCCCTAATTATTATTGACCACAAAGTTATGCATAATATATTAATATCCAACTGCTTGGGTTGGTTATGGAGGCGGCAGGGAGAGCACCAAATGTGGCGGCAACCCCGCGGCCACTCAACACTTTTTCGTTGGATAATTTCGAGTGTTGTTTGCTGAGATCATAGTTATTTACAAAGATATTACCATTATCGATTCAATCATAAGGAATAAGCAATAAGGGAAGGGCAATTCAATAACGATTTAGGAAAGATATATATTTACCATTATCTAGGGATCGGTTAGCATGCTAACCCTTGTATGGGTTGGCAAAATGACAACCCTATTAATTATAGGTTTTTTAGATAATTAATTTGTGTTGCATTTAATAATCTGTATGAATTAAAAACACATATTAATTACTTTCCTTATTTCAGTGCACTGGTAGTTGTATCAGTGCACTGGTATACTGAACTCATATTAATTACGTTCCTTTTTTGGAACTAACATTGCAGTGATACATCTACCATTGCACCTGTACACAACTACCAGTGCACTGATACAACTACCAGTGCACTGAAAAAAGGAAAGTAATTAATATGTGTTTTTAATTCATACAGATCATTATATGCAACACAAATTAATTACTTTAAAAACCTAAAATTAATAGGGGTTGTCATTTTGCCAACCCTTTTATGGGTAGGCATGCTATCTCATCCCCATTATCTATTTGTTTTTTGTGTTAGACCTTGCAGCATTTCAGTCTTTACTTTTCATTATGGTTGTCAAACCAGTTGCATGACGGTCGATACAATCCGATTGGGTATCGGATAGAAAATCGTGGAATACCCTAGTATGTCATTTTGTGTGTAATTATGTAATTTACTTTAAGTATGAATGCTGAATTATTGGATTCAAGTATAAATATTTATATGGTGACGTTAAATATTGTAATTAAATATGATAATTTTTCATATTGTTCGTAGTATTGTATTCTTTTTAAATAGGAATGTAGATTGTATGAAGATTGTCTTGAAATATGTTATATATGCGTAATTCATTAAATATTAATGATTTCTCACTTTTCATACATATTTTGTTACAATCCATTATAAACTGACATAAATTAATTGTATCTCGGCCGAATCATACCACTAGCCAAACCTATAGTAATATAAATTGCTTTGACAGCCAGATTTGTCATGCAAATTTGAATAAATCTGGAAGCTCCTTTAAATTAAATTAATTTGGAATAGGCGACTTGGAGATTGGGTACCGGGGAGTCAACCAAAAACGGTAATGCGAATGAATGACAAATGAAAGGAGTATATTAGCAGCGGGTCACTCGGCGATGATTCGTAAAAATCTTAAACGAGACTGCTTTCTTCATCGGAGCAAATTTGACTTCGTTGACTAATTATTGCAATTACTTTGAAATCAGACTAATAATTAGCGCATTTTTAATAGTTGACAACACGCATTTATATAGTTGAACATTTCACCTGTGTGACAGATTAGTAGATGATATGATCAGAACACATTTTGGTTTGAGTTTTCTAATAAAACTATACATGCAATATTTTATTACAGATTTTACTTGGCTTTTTTAATAAATTTGGCTCGATTTTTAGTTGACCGACAAATAATATATAGCTAAATAATTAGAGACGGCGACTCAATGATTAGTGCTACTGTGGCTACCATGTCACTACGACGGCTTGGGATAGGGTCAGTAACCACTGGTTACTGACCTATCAGTAACCACACGGGAGCCGTAGATCTGGGGATGGAGCAATCGTGTGGTTGGCTGGATGCGGAGATGGAGAGGGGCATTTTTGTCCGTTTTTGTATTTTTGTATTTATTTATTTCGCATTTCAATGACTGACTTTTCAATGAAAGAGAGAGAATGGCCTACTCTCTGCAGCTCTACTTTCTTCCTTCTCTCTTTCTTTTTCGCACTTGAATTCACCCTAAAATGATTTGCGACCAAATTATCCTATAATATGGAGCTCGGGTAGATAACATGATTTCTCAATCTTCCGCCATCATCAAGACGACGACAATTAACTGATGAACTCGCGACGATGAGAATTATCTCTTTAAAAGAACAAGTTACAAGTTTACTGTTTGGTAGAGTCACGTCTTAACACTGTTTTTCTTTGCCACATTTTTACTGCGTTCTCGTCTGTAATCATTGCTTACCTCTCTCTTTCCTCTCTGCTTTTAGCCTGGGTTGCTTCGCCAGCGACTTCTCTTCTCTCTGCAACTTATCGGTTTTCGGAACTCCTCACCTTTCCCCTGGAAATGACAGGTCTGGCGCTTCCTCATCTGTTCCTTTCCCCACAAAAGTCTTGCTTTGCTTTGCTACCTTTCATTTGTGCTTCTTACAGACTTTTCCTCTTCTAGCTTGCTTGCTCGCTTGCTTTCTTCTATTGCTCTTCCATGGTGACCCATAAATTGCTTCTTGACCTCAGCGACTCCGATGGCCCTCAGACTCTTCTGAAGCTGCGCCTCCTAAATGCGTGGGGGTCTTATGGCCTCAAGAATCCTACATTAATCTTCAACTACTGCACTCTTTGGAATGATGAGGAGGTCAGCGCTGCTTTCCTTTTTATTTTGCCACGTAATCTTGCGCCTCCCTTCTTTTTACAGCCCTCTGAGGTTCGCTTCTTTTCTGGCCAGGGTACTTTGATTCAGGGCACGGCTCCTTCGGAACTCACGCGCCATTTCTCTCCGCTTCTGCAGTTGGGTAGCGTTTACTTCGTGAGCAATTTTCGCGTCAAGCCACCGGCCCCTTCGTATCGTTCTTGCTCTCATAAGTTGACCATCATCCTCTCTGCCGCTACACAGTTCGAAGACGTGACCCGTTCGTCACCTTCATTCTGGCCGGATGCGTTCGAATTTACCCCTTTCAGCTCCCTTCATTCCCGCATACGTTCATCGGTTTATCTAACAGGTCTTGTACTGTGTTCTCTACGTCTCTTGCTGTCCGTTCTGCAGTGTACTGCTTACTATCCTTTCCTTTCTTCTCTTGCTTGTGCCTCTGTCAGATGTCGTTGGCGCTGTTGTTAGCATAACAGGCGTTTCTAGCACTGTAACTTCATTCGGTACCACTGTGCGGAGTGATTTGGTGCTTCAGAATGAAAAGTATGTTACAGATGCACACCACTGCTTTATCGACTGTAGTACATTTGTTACTTACTTTCGTTGCTTTTTTGGCCAGTCACATGTTTCTTGACATCAGTCTGTGGAGTGATATAGCTCGGAATCTCAATGGTCAGGAACTGGCTGTCCTTGGTCGTTCTGGGCCAGTTATGCTTGCTGTTTGCTCACTTCGAGTCACTGGCGCTACGAAAGGTCTGCATGTACCTTACCGCCGCACTATTCTCCCTTTCATTTCCCTTCCTCTTTTCCTTATTACCTTTACCCCTCTTGTAGGAGGTTACTCTCTTACCAGTACTCCAGGCACACGTTGTGTTCTCAACCCTGTTTCTGAAATGGCTCACCTGGTCCAATCTGTGTATGTCTTTTCTTATCCTCCTCATATTTGTTTTTCCCTTTGCATCATCAGCTGTATTTTTGGTTACTGCTAATTTGTTGCGTTCCTTGCTTTCGCTTTCGTTAGGTTCTTTGCCAGCACTAATACATGTCAATATTACCCTCCGAGGTTTGCAACTCCTAATGAGGCAGCGGCCTTCGAAGCTGAATGTACGAAGACTGTGTCACAACTACTTGCCTTGTGTTTTCCACCTGTTGCCGATGTATGCTTTTTCCCATTTTGCTCTCCAGCTTACCTGCTTCTGTTCCTTTCACTTCATTTGTTTGTCCGTCTAATCATTTTTTCGTTCACTTTTTTTTAGTCTACGCGTTACCATTGCTCTGGTCGGATTGTTTCGGTTGATTCTTCTATGCAGTGGTACTACTTGGGTTGTGCGCTTTGTTCCAAAGCAGCCATAGATTATGATGGTGTTGACAAATGGTGTGATGACCACCGTCGTTTGGTGCCTCAACAAACACAGAACTTGTAATTCCTTTCTTCATTCTTGCCCCCATACCTTTTACCTTTTCTCGTGTCCTCAGATGCTCCTGTGCACGTTTTTTGCAGTTACAAACTTCGGGTAACAGTTGATGACAACACTGGATCAGCAGCTTTTGTTCTGCTGGGTAGGGCCGCTGACCTTCTTGTGGGCTTGACTGCTAACGATCTCTCTACTAGGTTTCCTTACCAACGCAATGTTCTTCCACAAGAACTTCTGGCTCTTGAAGGGCGCGACTTTACTTTTGACGTCCAGCTTCCAAAACCGGAATATGGGGCTCGTGGCCCGCCAGAATTCACGGTCCTTGCTGTCAATGAGCAAGAACAGCCAAATTCCTGCTCACCAACTCTTGGTCGCCGGGCAAGAAATGCTATGCCCCATACACCACCTCCTAACAGGTTGTTTTAATGTTCTTCAGTTTGTGGTGCAGTTTCCTTTTGTTCATTACTAATTGCTGCTTTCCGTTGCAGTCCTCACTTGATGCCTCTTACTTCTCCATATGTTGTTCCAACAATGCAGAACGCTTCGGTAGAGCATGGTTCTTCTGTTGCTTCACCAAGGTTATGCTTCAATTTTACATGTCCTCTTTTCTCTGGTTGTTGCTTGTCTTTAACTCGGGTTCCTTCTTAAATTTGCAGTGGGAGTTCTCAGCTTGCATTTTCTACTCCTCCACGTCGCCCCTATAGCAGGTTGTTTTTACAATCCACTTTGCTTTACAAAATTAACAAGCGCTCCTTTGGACACTGTCGTACTCTTTCCCTATGTGTTGACATTTCTTTTCCATGCGTTGTTTACCATCAATTTCCAGTAGGCGCATCGCTGCTGTATCCTCGCCCTCATCTGCTGCATTGGGAAGGTTGTCTGTTTGTTGTCTGCTTTGCTAGCTTAGTGCTGCTTATACACGTTCTGATGTCGTTTCCTGACATGTTTTTTTCAACAACAGTTCTGTAGCTTCTTCTCCTGAACTTGGTCGTACTGAGATTATTTCCTATGCGCGGTCAGTTTCTTGCCTTTTCCTGTGTTACCTCAATCGTTCGCCTTTACGCCTGCTAATATTTGTCAATGACTCTTGCACACCCGTTTTAACTGCTTCTTAGCCCTAGAAGTGAGGAAGTGCCCCCAGAAACTGCAACACAGCGACTCCCACAGTACCTTTCCTCCTGTTAACTTACTTACTAGCTTTACGTGTCTCTTTCTTTCCTTGCTGAGCATCTCTGTATCAGGGAACTTGCTTCGGACACTACAGAAGCTACTGTGCAGAACAAGAACATTAGTTCGCAGAAAGCGAAACCGAAGAAACCATCTGCTAAGAAGAAGTCTCTCTGCCCTTTATTACTTGCTATGTTTCTTGTACCAAATTTACATATCCTACATTAGGTCTTCATTTCCTGTTTAACTTGCTTCTGTTTGCATACTGGCAATTTACTTGGTTTTTGTCCACCCTTCGTTTTACATGTGGCCTGCTTCCTACCCATTCCCCATTGTCATTTCGTTTTTACCACTTATTTGGTTGTTAACTGTGCATACGCCACTATTGCCTCCTGGGATCCTTTTACTTATCATAGTATCCTGCATTGTACTTCGATTTACTGTCCTTACCTTATACAACTTTGTTGGACTTTTGCAGGAAAACTGGAGGTGCAGGTGCTGCGCGTTGTCCTGCGGTTACTCTTGAAGAAACCGATGTTCCGATATCGTCCCTTCAGATCCCTGTTGGACATCCTTTGCCAACCGAATCGGCGAATCCTGACTCTGGAAATCTTAATGCCCTCGGTGTCAATTTGCAGACAACAACAATTCAGCCTTTGTCACAGTATGTGTCGTTCTAATTCTTTGCTTGCCAGTGTTGTCTGCTCCCTAGGATTCCAGTTTGCATGCTTTGGGTGCTCTTCTAAACCTGATAAAAAAAGGTTTCCAGTCTGCACAGAATACTTATTGTTGACGCACAAAAATTGCAAACAAATGCTTTACAATTCAAGTTGGTCTTCTGCTTTTATACATGGTTTTAAGTCGTTACAATAAAATACAATAGCCGATGGATGGCCTTTTGTATCCCTTTCTTCGCCCTTACCTAACTTACACGTGTTCTCAATGTGCAGACATACAATGTTACCTTTCAGTGGCCATACTAATTATCTACGCATGTTCTACCTTTTTTGTTTATACAGAACAAAATAAACAAATAGTTGTGGTTTCTGCTTACTTGGTCAGCTTCAAATCAATTCTTTTCCCACAGTTTAAGTAATAATCGTCTTTACTTTAGGGAGATTCCTTATGCAGTTTGTTCTTTGTTGTTAGTCATTATCTTATTCGTGCTTTGCAAGTTGCTCCCGCATTGCATAGGAATGTGCATGTTCTTTCATATAGATGTGTGTTTTACAGACCTACTTCCTTTGTCTCCTTTTCTAGGCAACCTGTGTCTATAAATCCTGCACCTGTACGTCGCCGTCGCTTGGTTGTTTCTTCTGATGAAGACGAACCTGTTGTCCCTTTGGAACTGCAAGACTTGGACGTTGAACTTCCACTGCAAGAACAGACTATTGAAACCTCTTCGACTTGTCCTGTTCCTACCGTTGACTCTACTTTGCCTTCTCCTCTTCTTGCTGGCCAAGAAGTTCCGCTGCTTCCAGTGGGGAAAACTAATCCTGAGAGGGCAAAGCGAATTAGGACACCGTCTGCAAAGGCCATTGAAGCATCTGTGGATGCCTCCAAGAGGAAGCCAAAAACTCCCAAATCGTCTGCTAAGGAACCTGCTAAGAAACAACTGTTTGCTGATTGACCGTGATTCGCATCATGCGAGTGCTAATGTAACATGCTTGTGCAGTGCTGTCCCTCCCTTTCTTTTGTATAACTTTTAAAGGGAAACACTCTTTAGTGAGTAGTGCACTATGTACTTTTGCCTTTTGTGTCTACATTTGCAGCCCTTGCCAAATTTTGTGGTTTTCCATTACTGGCAACACTTCTACCAAACTGGTCTGCTATGCCATTTGACTTGTATTAGTTACCTCTTGGTCCAGGTTACCCCTTGCGTACCTGCTTTCTAACCAGCTCTATGTCGTTAATATAAAGCGACATTTTGGCATGCCCTTCTTTAAGTGGCATAGTATTGCGCCACTCTGCAACTGAACTTTATTTTGTGCTAAGGAACTGTTGTACTTTGTATCATCATTTGTTGGGTGAATTTTGCCGTTTAGCCCACATTCGCATCGCACCTGTATCTACTTCGTTAGTCACGTGTTTTGCTCTTTATTCGCAGGTGGCCACTGTCTGTTGTAAATGGCCAGTTTTAGGACCAAATTGTGCACACCCTTTTCGATTGCAGGGTATTTAGGTAGTGTCTACCAACCACACAGTAACTAGATATTTAGATTGTCCACTAATACCATGACTTTGTTTACTAGCTTCCATAGACCCAAATTATAAACTTATTTTTCTTCTATTAATTGCCATCATGCATTTATTGTTCTGACTACCCTGTTCACTAATGATGGCTTTATTACTTCTCACTTCTCTAGACTAGCCTGCTATGGTGCATGTTGTATTATTATACTTTTTCTTAAGAAGGATATTTCCCCCTGGAAACACCGTTTACCTGTAGACTGTCTTCTTCCATAACTGCTTTCCCATTACTGCTTCTTTTTGCTTATTCTGTCTTTGCTGTTGGTCATTGAATGCAATTCTCTGCTACATCTGCTATACTATTACCTGGTATCTGCCTTCCTCTGCAAATCTGGCAGTGTCTTTATTCCACTGTACCCGTTTAGAAGGCGTGACATGGTTAGTTTGGTCAATTTATTACTTTTATCTTACTACATTTACCATTGTGTTCCTATACCATGCTACGCTTGTGCCATAGTTCCCAGGTCCTGTTTTTTCCCTAACGTCAGTGTGTGCTCTCAGGCCACTCCCAGACAGGCTGCACTCCTGCTACCCGGTCGTTCAGCAAATAGGAAGCGTCGTCATATTGGTGTTTCCACTGAATTTGTACCTACCACGCCTCCTTCGAGAAGTTCTGTGAGGCGTCGTGTGTGCAACTTTGATAGACGGGGACGCTTGCACCCACTGCTTGACTCAGAAGGTGAACTTGACTCATCCGAACTTGACTTAAGAACTCCTGAAGACTTAACAGCCAGCTCGCAAACTCATCCTCCTGTTGCGTTGGATGGTCATTGTTCGTTGCCTAATGTGCCTCTACCACCTTCACAACAAGCAGAATTCAGTCGAGTTATCGATCATGGTTTTCCTGACTGTGAATGCCAATACTGTGGTGCACGATTTTGGTATGAAGAGCGGCTTAACAGGCATGCATCTCTTACTCCTGTTTTCACGCTTTGTTGTCAAAAGGGTCGAATACGCCTCCCATTCCTACAGGAAACCCCTCAGTACCTTGAAGACCTCTTGGGTGTTAATGGCGGTCCTATGGCAGCGCACTTCAGGGAACATATACGCTCCTATAATGCTGCGTTTTCTTTCACATCTTTTGGAGCACGCCTTGATCCGAGAGTTACACGATCACGAGGACCTTATTCGTTTGTGATATGCGGAGAAAATTATCATCGAATGGGATCTCTGCTTCCTGCTGCAGGTCAGAGACCTAAATATTCTCAGCTATACGTCTTTGACCCGCAGACCGAATTAGCAGATCGACTCTCCAATTTCTCTTCTGCTGAAAGGTCTCTGCGTCCTGATATTGTTTCTGGTTTAATGAAGCTGTTTGACGTGACAAATGAATTAGTTAAGTCTTTTAGACGAATTCGATCTGAATTGAATGATCCAGCATCAATCAATTTAAGACTGCGTATTGTTGGTGCAAGGGACACAACATCTCGACAGTATGAACTTCCAACTGGTTCAGAATTGGCTGGACTAATTCCTGGTGATTTCTTGCCTGATAAGGAAGAACGAGACATCATTATCGATCATCGGTCAGAGGGCCTGAAGAGGATCACAAGTGTACACCCGAAGTTTGATGCTTTGCATTTCCCGGTTCTTTTCCCATACGGAGAAGATGGATTCCATGTAACCATACCGTATGATCCTGTTCATACTCCCAAAACATTGAAAAGGAAACATGTGACTCAGAGAGAGTACTATGCTTACCGGCTTCAGCACAGAGACGACGAAGGTCAGACATTGATGCGAGGTGGGAAGGCACTTCAACATTACGTGGTTGATGCATATTCCACAATTGAACAAAACCGACTCTATTATTTGCGATCGCATCAAGAAAACCTCCGTTCTGAACTATACTATGGCCTTACAGATGCTTTCAACAGAGGTGATGTTACAGGAGATGCTGTTGGCCATGTTGTTCTGCCATCATCGCATACTGGAAGTCCTAGGTATATGAAGCAACTATACTTAGATGCAATGGCTGTTGTCCACCATCATGGCAGCCCCGACCTATTCATAACCTTTACGTGCAACTCCCAGTGGCCAGAAATAACAGAATCTTTCCGCGCTGTCCTGTGGTGCACGCAGCGAACTAAAACCAGAGATTGTTGCTAGGGTCTTTCGCATGAAACTGAATGCACTGGAAGATGAATTAACACGAGGCCATTTTTTTGGTCAAACAGTGGCAGGTTTGTTCGGTTGCCTTCTGTCTTACTTCCTTTTACAATTGCCTGTTATCAATTCTCCTTTTCTGTCACTCTAAACTTCCTCACTTACCTCATGTTTTGTGCTCTAGCATAAATGACACATTTCGTTGCCTTCATAATTCCAGGTATCAAAACCGTCGAGTTTCAGAAACGGGGTTTGCCCCAGTTCATATACTTTTATGGTTGGATGCAAAGAATAAGCTACGACAAGCTTCTGATATTGATGCAACTGTAGCTGCTGAACTGCCAGATCCATTACTAGATCCAATTGGGTATGATGCTGTGACAACGTTTATGCTGCATGGTCCGTGTGGTCAAGATAATCCGACCAATGTTTGCATGAAAGAAGGATCGTGTTCAAAGTATTTTCCAAAACCGTTTAATTCAGAAACTACAACGGACCAGTTTGGCTATACAGTCTATCGCCGTCGCGATACAGGTATAACAGCAGTGAAAGGTACAGCTATACTAGACAACCGGTTTATCGTTCCATATAATCGGAATTTACTTGTGCTGTTTCAAGCTCATATCAATGTCGAGGTCTGTCATCAAGGCCGCTTGATTAAATATTTGTTTAAGTACATTACAAAAGGGCCTGATAGATCCATGGTTCTTGCTGAAACTGCTGGCTTGTCTGTGTCTGATTCTGCTACCCCAAACCATATCCCTCCATTGGACGAAATTAAACAGTTTCTTGATTGTAGAAGTCTGTCTTCATATGAGGCAGCGTGGCGGATCTTTGAATTCCCTGTTCATGAACGAACACCGCCGGTTCAGCGGTTGTGCGTTCATCTTGAAGGGAGACATTATGTTCCTTATAGGAAGAAACAACGGCTGTCTCGAATACTTGCCCGCGATTCTGTTTCAGAGACAACATTGACACAATGGTTTTACCTTAACCAACGAGATCCAACTGCAAGGGATCTACTTTATGCCGAGACTCCGAATCGTTATATATGGAATGTGAAAAAAAAAAATGGGCTCCGCGGAAAAGAGGGTTCTCAATTGGAAGAATTGTCTATATCCATCCAGGTTGTGGTGATACATTTTATCTCAGACAACTTCTTACCAAAGTTCGTGGGTCAGTTAGTTATGCAGATCTTCGGACAGTCCATGGATTCCCATGTAGAACATATCAAGATGCGTGCCAGCGCCTTGGTCTTTTGTCTAACGATGATGAATGGTTACTTGTGATTAAAGAAGTCAGCCAATGGGGCATGTGCCGCTTGTTACGATACCTCTTTGTGTCCATGCTGATGTTCTGTGAACTATCAAACCCACTGCAGCTTTTCAATCAGACATGGGAATTGCTTTGCGAAGACATCACATATAGGTGCCAACGAGACGTTTGCTTCAACAACAACCTCATACCAACTGAATTGCCCAAAAATAAATTGTTGTGGGAATTGCAGCACATGTTACATGCTTATTCAGCCACGTTATCTCATTTTAACCTTCCCTTGCCAACAGATGATCACCCACAAACTGATCCCTTGCTTCAGTTTGGAACTGATTCACATCCTGGTACTTTAGCTGCTGTGGATTCCCCACCTCCTGTAGTTGGTGATCTTAACAGAAAGCAACTTGAAGCTTTTCATTGTGTAATGGAATCTGTTATGTCTCCAACAGAAGACTCGCCTACATTCTACTTTCTGTATGGTCATGGAGGAACAGGCAAGACTTTTCTCTACAAAACTATTCTTGCGCAACTTAAAGAAGCTGGAAAAATAGTTTTGGTTGTTGCTTCTTCAGGAATTGCAGCAACATTACTTCCTGATGCAAGTACAGCTCACTCTCGGTTTAAAATACCACTGGAAATCGATCATGGTTCTTCATGTAATATCAAGAAAGGTACGCCATTGGCTCAATTGATCATTAATGCATCGCTTATAATATGGGATGAAGCCCCAA